ATCCTTTCAATCTCAGCAAAGAGGGGAAAACTGAGAGGCATTCTGGAGGGCGCAGCACAGGGCCCCAGACTCCCTAGAAGCCTCATCACAGGACTAGAGAACACTTCCCTCCCTCCACACCGCACCAGCCACTCCATCCTCAGGACACCTGTATGTTACAGGGAGTGCAACAGAAGTAACTGCCAGTCTCAGACCTTGTGACGAAGAAGTCTCTAGTGAACCCCCAAAACAACAGGGAAGACAAAAACATGGCCAAGCGTGGTAGCTCACGCCTGTAATCCCAGCACTTTGGGAGGCCAAAGTAGGTGGATCACCTGTGGTCAGGAGTTCAAGACCAGCCTGGCCAACATGGTGAAACCCCATCTCTACTAAAAATACAAAAAATTAGCTGGGCATGGTGTCGGGCGCCTGTAGTCCCAGATACTAGGGAGGTTTAGGCAGGAGAATCGCCTGAACCTGGGAGGCAGAGGTTGCAATGAACTGAGATTGTGCCAGTGCACTCCAGCCTGGGCGACAGAGAGAGACACCGTCTCAAAAAAATAAATAAATAATAAAAAAGACATCAGAATCCCTTTTAGCTTCTGACACCTACAGTGACAATATGAGTACAGCCTAACTCCTCCAGATTCCCATAAAACCTCACATTAAGAGCCTATCTGGGCTGGGCACGGTGGCTCATACTTGTAATCCCAGCAGTTAGGGAGGCTGAGGTGGGGGGATCACGGGGTGAGGAGTTCGAGACCAACCTGACCAACAGTGAAACCCGGTCTCTACTAATGATACAAAAAATTAGCTGGGCGTGGTGGTGGGTGCCTGTAATCCCAGCTACTCAGGAGTCTGAGGCAAGAGAATTGCTTAAACCCGGAAGGCAGAGGTTGCAGTGAGCCGAGATCGCGCCATTGCACTCCAGTCTGGGCGACAAGAATGAAACTCCATCTCACACACACACAAAAAAAAGAAAGAAACAAGTTCATGTCTTTTGCAAGGACATGAATGAAGCTAGAAGTTGTTAACCTCAGCAAACTAACGCAGGAACAGAAAACTAAACACTGCCTGTTTTCACTTATAAGTGGGAGCTGAACGATGAAAACACATGGACACATTTCGGGGAAACAACACACACCGAGGCTCGTCGAGGGGTGGGGCTGTGAGGAGGGAAAGCATCAGGAAGGACAGCTAATGGATGCTGGGCTAAATACCTAAGTGATGGGTTGGTCTGTGCAGCAAACCACCATGGTACACGTTCATCTATGTAAAGAACCTGCACGTCCTGCACGCACACCCTGGAACTTAAAAGTTGAAGAAAAAAAATCAAAACAAAACAGTTTCCTTTAATTCTCTGAATATGGTCCTCATGACTAGGCACCCTGAATTTGAATCCTGATTCCGTCATTCACTAGCTGTGTCTTTGCATCCCAGGTTTCTCATCTACAAAACGCGTGCTGTTATGGGTTGCTGGCTATTCTGGTTTTTCGTTTTTGTTTTTTTGAGACAAAGTTTTGCTCTTGTTGCCCAGGCTGGAGTGCAATGGCGTGATCTCAGGTCCTTGTAACCTCTGCCTCCCGGGTTCCAGCGATTCTCCTGTCTTGGCCTGCTGAGTACCTGGGATTAAAGGGTGCACCACCATGCCTGTGAATTTGGTGTTTTTAGTAGAGATGGGGTTTCACAAATGTATTGTCTGTTCGGAGATGAATGGGCTGGGTGTGGTGGCTCTCGCCTGTGATCCCAGCACTTTGGGAGGCCGAGACTGGCGGATCACTGGAGGTCAGGAGCTTGAGACCAGCCTGGCCAACATGGTGAAACTCTGTCTCTACCAAACATACAAAAATTAGCTGGGCAAGGTGGCAGACACCTGTAATCCCAGCTGCTCGGGAGGCTGAGGCACAAGATTCCCCTAAACTCAGGAGGCAGAGGTTGTAGTGAGCCGAGATCAGGCCACTGGACTCCAGCCTGGGCAATAGAGCAAGACTCTGTCTCAAAAAAATAAAAAATAAAAATAATGTTAAGACAAAAATCATAAGGAAATTACATAAACAACTATATGCCAGCTATTTGTGAAAATATCAAAACAGACCATTTTATAAAAAAATACAACTTCAGTCTGGGTGGGGTGGCTCACGCCTGTAATCCCAGATATTTGGGAGTCCAAGGCCGGTGGATCATCCAAGGACAGTTCGAGTCCAGCGTGGCCAACATGGTAAAATGCCAACTCTACTCAAAGCACAAAAATTAGCCAGGCCTGGCGACCCATGCCTGTAATCCCAGCTACTCAGGAGGCTGAGAAGGGAAAATCACTTGAACCTGGGAGGCAGAGGTTGCAGAAAGCCGAGATCAAGTGACTGCAATCTAGCCTGGGCAACAGAGAAACTCTGTTTCAAAAGAAAAATATAACTTCATAAAAATGAACTAGGAAGAAACAGAAAAGTCAACATCTAGAACCATTAAAGAAATTGAGGCTGGAAGCGGTGGCTCATGCCTGTAAGCTCAGCACTTTGGGAGGCGAAGACGGGTGGATCACCTTAAGTCGGGAGTTCGAGACCAGCTTGACCAACACGGAGAAACCCCATCTCTACTAAAAATACAGAATTAGCCAGGCATGGTGGCACATGCCTGTAATCCCAGCTACTCAGGAGGTCGAGGCAGGAGAATTGCTCCAACCCAGGAGACAGAAATTGCAGTGAGCCGAGATCCTGCTATTGCACTCTGGAGTGGGTAACAAGAGCGAAACTCCGTCTCGAAAAAAAAAAAAAAGAAGAAAAGAAATTGAATGCTTATTTTAAAATCATCTGTACTCCATCCCCTCAAAAATCTCACAAAAAACAAAACCAAAGAAAAACACCAGGCCCAGATGATTTTATAGACAAGTCCAGCAAACATTGCAAAGAACAGAGAGTCTTTATCTTCCACATAATTTTTTTTTTTTTGAGATGAAGTCTCTCTGTAGCCAGGCTGGAGTGAGTGCCCTGATCTCAGCTCACCATAACCTCCGCCTCCCTGGTTCAAGTGATTCTCCTGGGATTACAGGTGCACGCCACTGCACCCGGCTAATTTTTTGTAATTTTAGTAGAGACAGGGTTTCACCATGTTGGCCAGGCTGGTCTTGAACTCCCGACCTCAGGTAATCGCCTGCCTCGGCCTCCCAAAGTGCTAAGGATTATGGGTGTGAGCCACCGCGCCCCGCCTACATAATCTTTCAGAAAAAGAAGCAAATGGAATTCTCCCCAACTCATTGTGAATTTAGTATAAGCTTAATACCAAACCAGACATGAATAGTACAAGGAGGCAAAAGTATAGACTAGCTTCTTATGGACAAATATGCAGAAGTGCTAAATAAAATATTAGCAAATAGTCCAGCAACGTATTAAACATGTATAACGACCAAGTTATGGTTTTCCTAGGAAACTAAGGTGATGTAATAAAAAACTGTTAAAGTAGCACAAACTATCAAAGGAAAAAACCTGTATGATCATTGCAATCTGTTCATTTGCCACATAATAGAATTTCTTTAATATTGTATATATATAGGTTGCTCGCTTATTTTTTTGTGTTCCCTTATGTATCGGGAGCGGCAGGAGGCAGGGCTTTGTGTTTTTCTCACCACTGTCTGGCTCTTGCCTAGCACCGTCCTTGAAAACACGCTGAGGACAGTCTTTGGGACTAACGCGCTCTAAGCAACATCTCACAGGGCCCAATGGGGCCTCTAAAGGGACCCGCCTTGCTAGGCTCCAGCACAAGTCATGACGCGTGCGCATTGGCTGCCCGGGTATTTTTTTTTTTCTTGCCCAGGCAAGTGGTAGGGCGCCTGCGCGATCCAGTGCCGGGAGCGACGCGAGCTAGAGAGGCGGGGCTGCAGCGCTTGCGCCATGAGGAAATGTGGGCGGGGTCCGCACGGCGCCTGCGCAGGCGACCGCAGGCTTGCGGGGCGCGAAGGGGCGGGCCAAGGGCGGGGGCCGAGAGGGAGGCTAGGCGGTCCCGGCAAGCGGCGCCGCGGGGTTGGTTGCTGTCCTGAGGCCGGACTCAACGGGTCCCGGCTGAGCCACTGGGTGAGCTCCTCCCGGGCCAGCCACGAGCCTGCGAGGGAGCGATGCGGCGCCGCGCGGTAAGAGTCAGGGCCGCGTTCCCGCAGTGTTCGCCCGCGGGTCGGTTTATCGCCTCAGAGCCGCCCGCGCGGCCGGGCCCAGGCGTCCCCGCAGACCCCGGCAGGTCCCGCGCCTGCGCCGTCCCCCTCCTGGGCCCCTCCGGTCTGTCCCGCGCCTGCGCCTTCCCCTTCCCGCGCCGTCCCGATTCCGACCTCCGAGGCTCCTGGGACAACCCGCAGGCTTTGCCGCGGAGACCCGCGGGCCTCCCGTTGGTGCCGGGCTTGAGGTGGTTCTGGGACCCCGCCCGCGGCTCGTCGGTGTGTGGACAGGCCGGGTGCGACCCTCGTGCTAGCCTTTCCGGCGCTCCGGGACAGGCTGGGGCTGCTGCTCCATCGTCCCGGTTCCCTGCCTCGGGCGGGGACAGCATTGCTCCGTGGCCCCGCGGGCGCAGTGCGGGGAGCGGAGGCCACGGGCGGCGGCCCCAGGGCCTGCAGCGGGTGCTGCTTCTGCAGGGGCCGGCGCCCCAGGCCGACGAACATCTTTTCTTCTTGAGACCTGGCTCATTGCATCAGGTTGGATGTGAATAATCTGGTGCTTTGCTGAGGAAATTTTGCATTTCCAGGAACTTGGTAATTGTATCAGCTTAAGTGGTTAAATCTACGGCATCATAGTCATGGCAAGTTGGGCAAGCTGCCCTGGAGATGACGAAAAGAAATCGGCTTCCAGTAGTTTTACCCCATTTACAGAACACGCAGAAATTCTGTGATCATTCAAATGCAGGGACTTGATTTGTTGATGTCCTTGATCATTTGTCTGAAGTACGGGAAGGGCCAGGAAAAGATTCTCGGGACTACTGCCCAGGTGATTACAGGGGACAGTGTTTTCTTTCGTCAAAAGAGCCTTTTAAGCCATTGGTAATACTTACCAAGTTTATAACAGGTACAAGCCTTTAAAAAATGGCACTTGCTGTCACCCAGTAGGACACATCTTGAGATGAAATCAGAGCCGTAGGCTTTGTGGACAAGAGCAGTCATTTCTGGTGGCTTGGTGGGGGGCGGGGGGGAGGGGGGCGACTGCAGTTTTACGAATGCAGGTGACACCAAAGGGAGTATAGTAATTTTTCAGTAATTAAAAACCAGGCCAGGCGCAGTGGCTGGCGGCTGTAATCCCAGCACTTTGGGAGGCTGAGACCAGCAGATCACCTGAGATCAGGAGTTCGAGACCAGCCAACACAAAAATTGGGTGGGCGTAGTGTCACCCGCGTGTAATCCCAGCTACTCAGGAGGCTGAGGCAAGAGAATCACTTGAACCCGGGAGGTGGAGGTTGCAGCGAACCGAGATTGTGCCATTGCACTCCAGCCTGGGTGACAGCACTCTCCGTCGGAAAAAAAAAAAAAAAAACAAAACCCAAAACAACAACAAAAAAACAGACATAACAAGGTTGAGTGCAGTGGCTCACGCCTGTAATCTCAGCACTTTGCCGAGGTGGGTGGATCACCTGAGGTCGGGAGTTCTAGACCAGCCTGGCCAACATTGTGAAACCCCATCTTTATTACAAATAAAAAATCAGCCAGATGTGGTGGCGCACTTGTGATCCCAGTGGCTCGGGAGACTAAGGAAGGAGAATCGCTTGAACCAGAGAGGTGGAGGTTTCAGTGAACAGAGTTCCAGCCACTACCCTCCAGCTTGGGGGACGAACCAGACTATGTTTCAAAAAAAAGAAAACCAGGCATAACAATAAAAATATATTATAACCAAACCATTATATAGTGGAAGGAGAAGTATTGTTCTGGGTAAAATTGTTTCTATAAATAAATGGCTGATCCAGTATTTTTTCCTCCATAAAAACATCTTTTCCCTTTGATTTAGTGTACACCATGCAGAGTCGCTGAGCAGACTCAGTGACTTTTTGGATAGGTGGACAGTGCTTCGTAATGGTTGCAGGTGTGTAGGGGTGTTCTTGACATTTTCAGTAAGAAAGTGAATGTTGGCCGGGCGCGGTGGCTCAAGCCTGTAATCCCAGCACTGTGGGAGGCCGAGGCGGGTGGATCACGAGGTCAAGAGATCGAGACCATCCTGGTCAACATGGTGAAAC